CCCAAGTTGAAAATTGCAAATTTATACTACTGTAATTCAAGGGCAATAACTCTAACAAAACTGAAAAAGTCCACATGCAAAGTCCCAGGTTCATAGCTTCACAGTGAGGTGAATCATTATTCCTATAATTTAGTGATGTTGATCATTATTCCTGTTAAGTTGGTCGATTCTAACTCAAGCACTCAAGGATCAAATAACAACATAATGAAACAGTTTTTACTAAGTCAACGGAAATAACTCTACAAATACTGGATAAATCCACAAGCGAAACCCCAGGAACAAACTAAATATGCTGAGCAACTTTCCAATAAGGTTTAATGACTCTATGTCAAATCCTTTTTGAGTTACATGCGACACATGTTGAAAATTGCAAACATTTTCTAAGTCAAGGGCAATAACTCTAAAAATACTAAAAATATCCAGACGAAAATACCCAGGTGCACAACTACACATGCTGATCAACATTCCTGTAAAGTATCATGACTCTAGGTCAAATACTTTTTGAGATACATGCGACACAAGTTGAAAATTGCAAAATTTTACTAAGTCAAGGGCAATAACTCTAAAATTACTAAAAATATCCAGACGAAAATACCCAGGTGCACAACTACACATACTGATCAACATTCCTGTAAAGTTTCATGACTCTAGGTCAAATACTTTTTGAGTTACATGCGACACAAGTTGAAAATGACAAAATTTTACTAAGTCAAGGGCAATAACTCTAAAATTACTAAAAATATCCAGACGAAAATACCCAGGTGCACAACTACACATACTGATCAACATTCCTGTAAAGTTTCATGACTCTAGGTCAAATACTTTTTGAGTTACATGCAACACAAGTTGAAAATTACAAAATTTTACTAAGTCAAGGGCAATAACTCTAAAAATACTAAAAATATCCATACGAAAATACCCAGGTGCACAACTTCACATGCTGATCAACATTCCCATAAAGTTTCGTTGAATTCCAGCCATTAGTTGAAGAGAACTAATCCGGAAACGAAATTCTAAGTCAAGGGCAATAACTCTAAAAATACTAAAAATATCCAGACGAAAATACCCAGGTGCACAACTTCACATGCTGATCAACATTCCCATAAAGTTTCGTTGAATTCCAGCCATTAGTTGCAGAGAACTACTCCGGAAACGAAATTCGGACGGACGGATGGACGGACGGACGGAAGGACGGACGGACAACGCCAAAACTATATCCCCCTCCCGATTCCATCGGCGGGGGATAATTACCGAGACAATATATAAATTGTTAAACATGTCCTCATTTTGGGGATTTAATTTCACTTATTTAGGTTATTAATATCTATTACGGGAACGAAAAAAAGATAAACTTCTAAAGAATATCATTTGACAAAATGCCTCTTTTAAAAGGAGAGAATTTCGAAACCAAATCTATTTTGGTACCAATCAACTTACGCCTGCATAACTATCACACAATTGTTGATATTATTACAATGGGGATGGTAGTACTTGTCTGAACAAATTACCGCCTACACCAGTAGATGTAATTAGATGTTATCTTGTTACTGAATTCATACAATTGTTTAATAGAAATCAACGTTATACATATAAACGCAAAATATTTGAAGTAATAAAGATAAAAGTACGCATACTATTTTAAACACACGTTCATGCAAACTAATTGAAGCTAGGTGTTCAATAAAAATGCAATAAAAATATACAATACTATGCCAAATACAGACTCTGATTAGGGCAAAACCGCAAAATATAAAGTACTCTATTTGACAAAAAAATCGTTCAAAGCAAGTCCATTTTTTTAAGCATTCCGATTACCTTTTACTTTCGGTATTTTTTCTCTCGACATTATATATATTTACAACAGCGGATGTCTATTCAAGGGCTGTAAAAGGACCAAAACTTCATTAAAATGTTGTTTTATTCTAAAAAGAAACTTTTAAGAGTAAGATACATGTCTAAGAAACGTCATTGCAATGCTAAACTTGCACACACCTCAACAAAGCGAACAGATGTAAAATATAAACGAAAAACAAAAAAAAGTGGTAAGTACTTGGTTCTTATCTTCATATAGGAATATCCTCATAATTGTTACGTACATAGTACAAGCACTCTGCACAGATAATTGCAAAGTAGAAGAATAACATGTGGACTTGAACTTTCAGACATATTATAAAATGAAAAGCTCCATTAGGTTATTCATAGCCGTTGTTATTTTTCTTGACAATTTTTAACTAATCCTTCAGAAATATATGGGAATAAATTACCCATCATGAAAAATAATGCGTTTGTTTAAAAATTTTCCTTAATTGATGAATTATTTTTTATTATGCCCTTTTCTTTTTCATCTACTGTCATGTATACAAGAATTCTATTTAAATCATTATGCACCAGGTACAAGTCCATAATATTTTTTGTAAAAATATACTCAACACACATTCGATGTTGTTTTCGCTCACCCTTTATCATACATATACTAATATACATATATAAGGTTATAATCTTTCATCTTATGATTTATCAAAGTTTTCTAGAGCTATAGTTTGATAGAGCAAATAGGCGTTGGCGACACAAATCATTACTATTACGTTACGCATTTGTTATTATAGATCTTTATCGTCGTACTAAATTTACATTAATATAATTCATTATAATTTTGTTTTTATTCTGCTCGAAAAAAATGTCAATGATTGTCATACCAATATAATGCAGCAATTTGCAAACTAGCAAATTATGTCTTATTATCATTATTATGAAATGATAAAACAATAGACTATGAACTTGGTATTAAAAAAAACAACAAAGATAAATTGGAGAATAAATGCGTATTTAAATGTTTAACGCTAGTGCTTGAATCGTGTGCGGGCTTATTTCATACTAAAGTTGATTGTTAATTATTTATTTGTACTAAAAACCAGGTAAGTAGTTCATATAAATTGATATTTTCATCAAGAAAAATATATATGAACAACATTTAACACATGCTTAAGGCTGCATACGCGTCTATTAGTACTTGGCAATAGTTTATCTTTGAATGGGAGTTCTTTTATTGTAACATATTTATATTTATATGTAGCCGTCGGACAATATCTTTCTTGTAAATCAAGTGAGCACCTTGTTTAATTACTTAGTGAACGTCATAATACACGTAACTATCATTTCTCAATGTCTGTTTGAATTGGCTGCTTTTTTTATTTTCATCATTCTGCAATAATTGTTATTAGACGACAATCTAAAACAACGTATAATTTTTTAATAGCTACATTGCAAGATAAATATTTGAACGTCTTACATAAAAGCAACCCAGTCAGCTCAATAGGTAGAGTGTAGGGACGATGCGGTGGCTGAACTGTGCTCTGGTGAATTCAATGTGGTTTACAGTGAAAACTATCAATAACACCACGAACGTCTTACATAAACATATCCAGCCATTCTTAATTCTATACATAATTCTTTATTACGAAAAAAGCCGTCGGTTAACGAACTTCCTTCCACTATGATATATTACCATGAACTCGGAAAATGTCCTGCGCAGCTGTTTGTTACGATCAGCAAGACGCCGAAATAATATCAGTTACGTACTAAAGTGTAACAAGCGTTTCCAGGCTTTATGAATAATAAAGAAAAGAATCGCGTTCGTGGAAAAAATAAGACGAAATGTCTTGATTGAAGTCGGTTGCCGACGTTTTCTTCGGCATACTTTTGAGAGTCAGGCATCTGATTGTTATATTTGATTTCAATAATCAAATCTAAAAAGTTCGCTACTTGACAAATACCGTTTGTGAAGGAAATTCTAACCAACAGTTAAATTATGATTAAAGTGATAATTTCAATTAAATATTTTATTCGTCAAAAACATAAATGTTTACTGTATGAATGTAAAGAAAACAATATAGAATTTCTATGTAAATAAATGTCGAAAATGGTTACATTAGTTTTGTTCAGTTAAATGCATTGTAATGAATTGTAAAAGAGCAAAGAAAGGCCCTTTTGGATAACATGATGGGTGGTATTGGCAGAAATTATGATTCGCATCTGTGGATCAACATTTTATTTCATAAATAAACTTACCTGACATTACTATATGGGATTTCTCTCTCTTGATCCGCATAATAGACTCATATCCGGAAGATAAACTTTTGACCTCTAGTAGGTCACTTCCGGTTGAAACCCATGCTTGATTCAGTTTCTCTTATCTTGCGAAAGTGTTCGCATCTCCGTGTTTTAGACTCTTTTCAAAGTCTTTCGACTTAGATAGTAACTTTATTAGTTTATTTTTGTTCAACTTCTGTTTGGATTATGGCGTCGAATAAATCGGCGGAAGACGGATAGTGGTTCGGACGTGACAAACACGTCGTTGCACTCGCCTCGTGGATCGAGTGAAATTTCTCACCATTCAAGGTCAAGTAAGAAGAAAAAGGGAAAACACATTCTAAGTATAATGAATTGAGCAGACGTTTTTCTGTTATTGAAGACATGTTACACAAAATGTTAGATAAGGAACAGTCTCGCCCTCGTGAGGGAAGTTCTAGGGACTTGACAAATAAGTCTACAGTTTCGGTACAAAATTCGTCATAAAGACGATTATTTAGCGATAATGAAAGTGATTTAGAAGACAAAGTTTCTATTATGGGTCATGGACAAATTTCCCCACGTGAATATGACACTGAAAAATCAGACTCTGAGTTAGAAAATTCTGCAAGTGCTCTTTCACAAAGAGAAGAACATTTATCAGATATGCAAAAGAAATGTCTCATTGACATGTTTGGGGATGATGCCCTGGTTAAGAAGAATGAAAAAAAGGTGGTTTGGTGTTAGATTCATCACAAATCGAAGTGTTAAATAACAGTTACAGATGTAAAGAGCCAAATTTTCTGTCAGCGTTTTCTGAGGAAATTTTGATCTTTTTCCTGTGGACAGTCAATCGGAAAAATGGTTACAGGTGCCTCCTCTTGATTCTTTAGTTGAATGTTGCTTAACTAAACGTTTTGGAAACAGCCTCTTTTGTTAAAAGTAAAGGCAGGACTTTATTTACTCAGCCTTGTAAAATGGTAGAAAAAATTGCTTACAAAGGGCAACAAGCAGCTCGTCTAGGTTTAATTATACAGATGTACATCCAACAGAGCTTAGGTAATTTTCTACAGTTTCTGGAATCAGACGATTTCAATAAAGAGAAGGCAACCCAACATGTTAAAGATGTGTTTGCCATGTCAACTAAGGCTCTTGACCAGTTAGGTCGTTCAGAGGCGTTCCACCATGTTATCAGAAGATCGGTAGCTATGACAGATACTGCTCTTTTTGAGCAACCAGACAATTTGGAATTTTCTAATTTACCTTTAACTGGTGAGGGTGTGTTTGGTGCCGGTTTAGAGTCTTTGTTAAAAGCTCGCAAAGAGAAAAAGAAACAGATTGACGATTTAATTCCAGATGTTAAAAGGTCTGGCTTTAAAAGGAAGTTCTCGGGTGCCCAACCAGATTCGAGTAAAAGACCTACTCCAGATAGATTTTTTGACAGGCCGTCAGCTTCTACTTCTAAGTGGGATAATTTTCGTATCCCAAGACTGTCAAGAGATAAAACTGACAGCAGACCGCAGTCATCATATAAGTCAAGGGGCAGTTTTGGTAGTTACCCAAGACGATCAACATCCTTTCCAGGTAGAGGAAAATTGGCAAAATCAGATGGAAAATGACTCTGTAAGTATAATTGCAAAATGGCCGGAGATACCCGTTGGGGGGAGACTTTCACTATTCCTTCCAGAATGGGAGAAAATAACCACAGACAAATGGGTTTTAGAAATAATCCAACACGGTTACAAACTGGAGTTTCTAAAAATACCACCTTTTCAGGGTATAAAACCTACAAAAGTTCCTTTAAAGGACGAAACTGTTATAAACACAGAAATAAACAATCTTTTAGACAAAAAAGCTATAGAAATTGTGTCTCCCAACAAAATTCATTCAGGTTTTTACAGTACGTTGTTTCTAGTGACAAAAAAGACTGGGGATTTGAGACCAGTCATAAACTTGAAACCCCTCAACGAGTATCTCCACAAACAACATTTCAAAATGGACACATTATCAAAAGTTTTGAACCTTGTCGAGAAAGGAGACTGGGCTCTCACTCTAGACTTAAAAGACGCATATTTCCACATAAAGATATTCAAGGGTCATCGGCAATATCTCCGCTTTCAATACAAAGGTGTTGTTTACCAGTTTCGCACACTTTGTTTCGGTCCGACAAGTGCACCAAGAGTTTTTGTCAAAGTAATATCTGTAGTGGTGGCCCACCTACGAAAGCTCAATGTGCGTCTTGCCAGTTACCTGGACGATTGGTTACTGGTAAATCAAAAGAAAGATTTTCTTCTAAAAAACAGAGCACTAGTTCTCAGTCTCCTTTATCGACTAGGTTTCATTGTAAACAAAAACAAATCACAATTAGTACCAGTTCAGTCGTTGACTTACATAGGGGCTCAGTTCGATTTGATAAACGGCAGTGTCTCTCCAACTCTAGAAAGATTAAAAAAGTTAAAAAAATCTGTGTCAAACATTCTGGCGGGTCAAACAACAGCCAGACATTATCTGATTTTATTGGGCACAATTGCATCTTGTCTAGAAATGATTCCGAATGCAAGGTTGTTCATGAGACCAATTCAACTGCATTTGCTTCAGCATTGGAGTCCACACAGAATGGTTCTTTCTCATGTGGTTCCTTTAACTCCTCAGCTGATTTTAAATCTAAATTGGTGGTTACTGGATCAAAACATAGCAAGGGGCAAATCTTTTCTGAAAGATGCCTTTCCAGTTACAGTGACCACAGATGCAAGTGGCAAATGGGGTTGGGGTGGTCACATGGACAACCTAACTTGTCAGGGTCAGTGGACCATAACACAGAAGTTATTACACATAAACTGTCTGGAAATGATGGCAGTGATGTTCAGTATTCAGCAGTTCCTGTCTCACTTGAAGGGTTGCAATGTACTGGTCAAATCGGACAATACTACAGTTTGTCAGTACATAAACCATCAGGGGGGGGGACAAGGTCTGCTCAACTGAACAGTATAACTTGGGATTTATGGCATTTGGCTCTGAAGAACAATATCAAGTTAAAAGCAGTTCATATAATGGGTATAAAGAATGTGTTAGCAGACACTTTGAGTCGGGAACTAATAAGGGAAACAGAGTGGTCTCTGAACAGTACTGTAGTAGAGAAAATATTCAATCTTTGGGGTCAACCAATGATAGATCTTTTTGCCACTCACAAGAACAAGAAAACTCTCCTGTTTTGTTCTTGGATTCCCCATCCACAAGCCTTTGCTCAGGATGCCCTGTCAATTGCATGGCAGAACATGTTTGTGTATGCGTTCCCGCCATTGCCTCTTATTCCCAAAGTTCTCAGTCACTTGAAGAAATACCGATGCACTATGATTCTCATTGCTCCACAGTGGCCGAGACAACATTGGTACACACAGATACTTAATCTCTTGATAGCATGTCCATTGAGACTTCCATGCATTCCGACTCTTTTAACACAATGCAAGGGGAGGGTTCTTCATACCAACCAAGAGAAGTTGAGTCTGACTGCATGGTTGTTATCGACCGAAAGTTCATGTCAAAAAACCTTTCTGAAAAAGCAAGAAAACTTTTGGCCAAATCCTGGAGACATGGTACTCAAAAAGACTATAAATCTAAGTTCAGACAATTTTGTAGCTGGTGTTGTGAACGGCAAATTGATTCATATACAGCCTCTTTAACTGATTGTGCAGACTTTTTGACACATTTATTTGAAAAAGGCTTACAATATCGCACTATTAATGGATACAGATCCATGCTATCATCAGTTTTAGCACCTGTGGAGAATATTCCTATAGGTCAACATCCTTTTATTATTCGCCTTCTTAAAGCTGTTTTTAACGAACGTCCTCCGATTAAAAAACTTGTGCCTGAATGGAATCTTCTTTTCATTTTAGGATGTCTGGAAAAAGCTCCATTTGAACCTTTGAGAGATGTACCATTGAAGTATTTAACATGGAAAACCTGTTTTTTACTGGCTATAACAACTTTTAGACGTTGCAGCGATCTACAGTCTTTACAATTAGGTGAAGGCTCTGTTAATGTTCAAAAACATGGACTTACATTTATTAGACCAGGGTTATCTAAGCAGGATAGACCAAATCATTGTGGTAAAAACATTTTTGTTCCTGCGTTGCCAAACAAGTTTTTGAACCCTAAACGTTGTTTAACTTACTATTTAAAAAGAACTGAACCTTTTCGTATTTCTGAAAATGGACAAGATATTATCAAGTTATTTTTATCTATGAAAAAACCACATAAACCAGTGACAGCGCATACAATTTCAAGATGGTTAGTGGACATTATCAAATTTTGTTACAAAAAGGAGAAAAAATCTATTGGGAAAATTAGAGGACATTCTACACGTAGCATTGGACCTTCATGGGCGTTATTCAAAGGTGCATCTCTTCAACAGATAATGGAAGCGGCAGATTGGTCAAGGGAGACCACTTTCACTAAATACTACTTAAAGCCAGTAAATGTAGATTTCATGAAGCTGTGATGGCACACAGCTGGGTATATATTGAATATAATGTGTGGTATCTCCTATCTTGCGGATCGCAGGGTTGTTATGACTTTTTTACTTATGTACTGAAATTAGTACTTGTATAGGATGTGTTTGTACATAAAGAAGTACTTGTACTTCATGGGGTATTTATGAGAATTGGGAATTATATTGTTATGAAGTCTTCATCAAGTCTTTTGCTGCATTCACTCTACTCTTATGTGGTGAGTAAATTATCAAATATTTGAAATATTTTTTATTAATACATATGCATGTATGTATCCAAATGTATTTTTTACTAAGATCTTTGGTGGGAATTTATAGATTAATATGTGTTAAATGACTCCCACCACCTACATTACTGCTATAAAATCTAATTAATTCCATAATATTATAGTAATGTCGGGTAAGTTTATTTATGTAAAAAAATTGGAAAATTTGTTTTACAAATTAGAGTTTTATGAATAAATAATACTTACCTGACATTACATGTTACCCACCCTGGGACCTACCCCACTAGTCATTTAGTATTTTGTTGGCGAACACTTTCGCCAGATAAAGATGGGTTTCAACCGGAAGTTACCTACTAGAGGTCAAAAGTTTATCTTCCGGATATGAGTCTTTTATGCGGATCAAGAGAGAGAAATCCCATGATATAGTAATGTCAGGTAAGTATTATTTATTCATAAAACTCTAATTTGTATAACAAATTTTCCAATTTTGTTGGAAAAAATGATGAAATGTATTGATCGTTATAATGCGGAAAACTGCAGTCTGTCTACTCTGATTTCGTATGGCGTATATATATATATATATATATATATGGATATATCATTTAACAAAAATATATTATTTATAATTATTTATATATATTTATATAAAATACATTAAATAATCTGAATATTATCATTTAGTGTATTTTTTTTTGGTGTCCTCGTTTGTACCAAACGTTTTAATATTCTACATATCCTTTAATAGAATATCATGCTATCTGTGTTTCCGTTTAAATGACACGACTTTGAGACAAAGATGCAAACTTTCTATATATAGGAGAAAATAAATTTTGGTTTATTTATGGGAAAATCACCGTATAAGTCAGCCAGCATTCGCTCTTGTGTAGGTGGAAAACATGCTGTATAAGCATTTATCAAGGTATAAAAATTTCATCACTGGTAATGAATAAGCAAAACATGATAATTATCACAGGAAACCGTCAGAATTATATTTTTTGCAATTAAAAAAGAAAATAAATAAACAATGACGTGTTTTGCAGATTGCATAACCACGTACACCACTAGTTTCTGTGTTCATACGTACATATAAATGAATATTTATAATTTATATTTATATACTTTTTCTTTGGGGGTGTTTTTGCCTATTGTTATTCCTTGACTAAAGATGGAGCAAATTTACAACATCGGACAAATGCAACAGAGAGGTTTAACCCATTATTGCATGAGCCTTTTCTGATAAAATAGGGAAAACGTAATCAATATCGATTCTGTCTGAGCTAATGACATGACAAACTTCTATTATGAATTTAAAGAACGATAAAGGAATATTTCAACCATGTATTGCATGAGAGGTTAAGAGTTCCGAACATTAGATTTAATTTAACTTAAACATTCTATTGAAAACGATCTACATGGTATTAGGAATAACAACAGTATTCTATGTGCAATAAATGATGGAAAATAAATATAATAAGAGGCTTGTATTAATCGTAGATTTTGTTTGTTGTTCCTTTGCTCGAAAGTAGATAATATTTTTATTGTACATAACTTAAAGGTTGCATCACAAGTAATACTGCTTATTACAGTGTATATCCAGAAACGCAGAAATGTGAAACGCAGAGTTACGCAGACTTGTGCAATTGTATGACCGAAACGAGACTCATGGCAAGTACATGAACCCATATATTTTGTAGTTAATCAAATTAAAAGAAAAATATTTATTAACATACACGGCTACTGTGACATTATATCAGCATAACTGGAATATGATCAATCGTGAGAATGATGACCTGGCTAGCGTATTGAAGGCGACTTTTGTGTTTCGTCAATATGTATTAATACGTATATAATTCACTATTTTAAGATATTTTGCTTACCTGAGACATTTACTTACTTAACTACGTACTTGTGTCATATTAGATAGAATCAATATGAGACAATTTTTTTTCGAGGAAACGCCAAGTTTGTGAATGACGCACCGATGTAACGCTGGTTACCTCATAAAAGTAACCTGAATCATACTTTATCTGCTTCTAAAAGTAGTTTTGAAAATGTCTTAGATATACCGAATATTATAACAATAACGTTTTAAATGCGTTATTGCACTTATAAATATCGACAAAACACAAAATAAATATATTTCTAGAAATATTTGTAATGTTATTTAAAAAGAATACTGTAACAGCAGCTGTATGCCGTATTCATTTATTTTACTTTAAAACATTTTGGTCCATTTACTAAACGTGTTACTCATTCATGCCATAGCTGCATATAGTTGGAGTTAATTTTACAAAATTCCTGCTTATTGCTGTACTAGATACACCGAGTGTTTACATTGATGCTTAAAGGACATCTCTAGATTATGAGATTATGTCTTAACGGTTTTTAATGTTTTATGGGCATTTAGAAATGTCGTAGAATTGTATAATCTAGATATCTTTTGCCAATAATTAGGATTTACATATGTTATACATATTTTGTCTTGACGTAGATAATTATTGATATGAAAATATGTAATACACAATATAATTTTATATCAACTTTAGTATTAGAATCAACAACGATGATAAACAGATACATTCAAAATATTCTCTCATGATTCTCTTAAAATTTTAACAGTTTCAATGATAATAGCCAGCTAATGCTATGCAAAAAACATCATATTAAGACTTTTTATACCGGATGTTTTAGGGCGGTTATGACGTTCTTAAATTGTCCGTGTTAATAAATAACATATTTGATATTTATTACATGGATAGTAATAGTTCTATAAACTAGTCGATGCGCAGTTAAACACAATCAACGAATTTAGAAGCCAGAAACTGTTGCTTTATTATTAAGACAATTTTGCAAAATTTAGCATTTGCAAAGTATTTGATGCATAGTTAAACACAATCAACACATTTTGGAAGTTATATCGCCCTTGTTTTATTATATTATTTTACACGATTTTGCAAAGTTTGCATACTTACGAGTACAAATATATAGGATACCGTCTTTCTAAATTGTCTAGTTTGTTTTCGAAGTTATAAATTTTGCCCTGTCTTATAAAGTAAGAATACTTTTTTAAACATTTGTATTGATTTCAAAGTATCTTAACGTTTTCAATGTCAGCGATTATTTTCAATTAACGTTGTCAATCATCGTCAAATGTTTTAAATTTAATGCATAAGTCCAACAATGAAGTTTAAAATGTTCATTGTGTTTGAAATAACACATTATTATATCTATACATTCCGGTAGAAACTACATAACATTAGCAACTTATAGATAAAATACTGAAACAGCTGTGATTTTTATTAAGGTATACAGTACAGTTTGTTAAATGATGTTTCAAATGGAGAAGTACCCGATATACTAGTAAATAAATTCACAGATTTTCTACATTTAAATGGGAAGAAATACTATGAAAGCTGCACATAAAGTAAAACTGTGTATTTTACCAGTACAGACGAAAACAGGCAAAAGTGGTATAACGGAGTGTGCAAAGAAAAACATGAATTGTTTAAAAAGGCAATGTTTGAATATAATATCAACCCAAATGATGAGAAAAGAATGAACGTTTATATCAAGAAAATGGACTATAAATATTATTGTCGTGAATGTAAAAATAATTATGATGAAACATTTGCCCAATCTCTAAATACAATAAAACATAAATCACCACGTGAATTCTGGAAGACGTTTAAACAGAAATCGCCAGGAAATCGGGGTGAAGAAATAACAGTTGACTCTTTTTATGAACATTTTAAAAATCTTTCTATAAATCATGATTAACGTGAAACTAATAACGATTGCGATGACTTTGTAAAATCTTTCTTAAACTCAGAAGGCAACAATGCTACATTTGAAGAACTTGATAAACTGATATCTGTGGAAGAGATTGTTCTAGCATCAAAAAGCTTAGGTAGTAATAAAGATTGTTCTGCTGATAACATCTTATACGAATACTTTACATGATGTATAAATGATATTGTGAATCCTTTACAATTGCTGTTTAATTATATTCTTGAAAGTAAATCTTTCCCAAAATGTTGATCATCCGGTATTATTATTCCTTTACATAAAAAGGGTGATTCAACAGACCCGAGTAATTAAAGGAGAATTACGATAACAAGTTGTTTTGCTAAGTTTTCACAGTGATTATAAATAACAGGCTGAAGAAATGGTCTGTAGAAAATGACAAAATTACGGATGCCTAGTTTGGGTTTAAAGCAGATTATAGCACTGTAGATGCCATTTTTATATTACATTCTTAAAAGGCAAAGCACTACGGGCTATGAGCTCATTATTTAATGTAACAAGAGATAAGCAAGTTCCCATTGATATTATGTTCAACCTGTTTGATGCATATGTTCTACCAATTCTAAATTATAGTTGTGAGGTATGGGGTAGCATACCATCGGACAATTTGGAAATTGTACATTGGAAGTTCTGTAAATGGCTGCTTAATGTGATAATGTCAATTAATACTCTTTCATTGTTTGCGGATGTAGGCCGATTTCCATTATACATGTCACGTCATGTATGTAAGAATTGTAAAATGTTTTATAAAAAATATGTCAAAATAAAACAAGCAATTGTATATAAAAATTATATTGTTAATTGTCAGAGATTGGAGATAGAGTCAAAGTCTAATACTGTAAATTGGTTGTCTAAAGTCAAAGCACTTTTGCAAAGTGCTGGATTTAATGATGTGTGGATGTATCCAAAATCAGTTAATCTAAATATATTTATACCAGTCCTACATGGTCGTTTAAAAGATATTTATATCACAAACTGGCATTCTAGTGTACATATTTGTTCTTCTTTGTATTTGTATAAACATATCAAAACCGATTTTAGCAGGT